TTTTAAAAAAAAAAAAAAAAAAAAAACGCTGTGAGAATTGTTGGGAGGGAATCTCAGCTAATTTAGAGAATGATCATGAGTTCATCTCTATTGGTATGCGGTCTTTTGAAGAAGCCCAAAGCAAAGCCTCGAAAGCTTATGCTCAAAGTGGACAATATCATACCATTATGGAAAGTCGTGATTCTTAATATGGTATCAAAGTCATACCCTTAAATTATCAATGTCAATAGAATTCTCAAATGTCGAACAAAAAAGTTGTGAGTCTCAAAAGTCTAGTCAAAATTGACTCGTCGAACAAAGAGTCTACTTTGTTCGAGGACTCTAAAGAAAAAGTCGAGCCTTGATTAAAGGGAGGTTGTTCGAGGGTTTCATAAGCCTCAGGGGAGGCTCTATACATCTCCATTGGTATGAGCCCTTCTAGGGAAGTCCAAAGCAAAGTCACGAGAGCTTATGCTTGAAGTGGACAATATCATACCATTGTGGAGAGTCGAAATTTCTAACACATTAAAAAATTCCTAAATGATCAAAACTTCAAAATTTAGGACTAAACTTGTAATTTAACCCGGTAAAATGTTGCTTGGAAGTGTTTGAGACACTCTTGTAACATAATCTTGGGTATGTTTTGTAATTGAGTTAATTTTTGGGTATTAATGTTGGGTTAGGGAGTGGATGGGGGAGGAAATGCAGCTAAATCAGGGCTTAAGGCAGGAGACCAAGTTCTATACACTAGCAGCTTCTTTGGTGATGAATTATGGCCTGCAGACAAGCTGGGTTTTACCAAAACTGCCATTCAAGCCAAGCCTGATTCTGTCTACTTTGTCGTTAGCAGGTTCTTCAATTTCCTTTCTGAAAGTTTAAGGATAAGAATGTGATTTGAACTTAACTTGTAAAGTTTTATGATATAGAGGTGCTGAGGTCGATGTTAAACGTCTCCCGAAGCGACCTGCACCGCCTCGATTTGGAAGAAAACTCACCGAAGCACAAAAAGTAAGCGTTACTTAGTCATCACAATATTACGTTGTGTTAGGTATATATCAAGAACATGCCCTTGATGGCATTGCATTGCGATGTTGTGCAGGCTAAAGCAACTCATATATGTCTCGATTGTGGATACATTTACACTTTATCGAAACCTTTCGATGAGCTGGTATGTTCGTCTCTCGTACTTCTCCAACTCTATGGTATGACCTTCGCGATGACGAATATGTCTCGTGAGTTAGACTAGGTCGAGTCGGATAAGTATTGATTTTAGATTTGGTTAAGTTGGTTTGAACCTGTCGTTAAGTTGGCGACGTCGGTCGAGTATAAGCATGGTTAGATATGTGGAGCTCTAAATGGGCAGTGTTTTGGATATGGTGCAGGCTGATGGGTATGTATGCCCTCAATGTAGAGCGCCAAAGAAGAGGTTTGCTAGATATGACGTGAACACAGGGAAGGCAGTAGGAGGAGGTTTGCCGCCAATTGGTGTCATTGCTGGCTTGGTTGCTGGTATTGGTGCTGTTGGAGCATTGCTTGTTTATGGCCTTCAGTGATATCATTATACACTCGTACCTCAAATTATATTAATCTTTTTGTTCACAAATTTTCAAACTATATATATATATATATATGTCTGTATGTATGTATATGTTAATAATATAAATAAAAAGAGAAAAAATCAACGAAAAATTTTCAAGCAGATATCCATATGGCATTTGTATTCGATATTTGTGATTCCATTGGATGAAGAAGCCACGATAATGTAGTTGTCTATTAACAATGGTTTTTTGTGATATCCCATCGGTTGGAGAGGGAATGAAGCATTCCTTATAAGAGTGTGAAAACTTCTCTCTAGTAAACACGTTTTTAAATTGTGAGGTTGATGGTGATACGTAAGCGGACAATATTTACTAGCGGTGAATTTGGGTTGTTACAAATAGTATAAGAGTGAGACCCTAGGAGGTGTGCTAGCCTCAAGGGAGTAGATTATGAGATCTCACATCGATTGGAGAAGAGAATGAAACATTTCTTATAAAGGTGTGGAAATCTCTCTTTAGTAGACGCGTTTTAACATTGTGAGGTTAACTACGATATGTAACGGGCTAAAGTAGACAATAACTACTAATGTTGACACAACTGGTTGAATTATGTTCATGTAAACTTTAGCTCAAATACATACCTTTACACTCTCATAGAGTATGTTATGAATTTGATAAAAACAAAATATACTTGTAATCAAAATATCATATTGTATTGATTAAGACACCTCAATTTTCTCTACGGTGCATTATTAGTGAAAATATTTATCTTTTATATACAAAAATACTCTCTTTTAAATATGAGAACATGACCGGTAGTAGTTTTGAAACATTTACGGAATATGGAAAGAAAAGAAAAAAAGAAAAGGCAAGAGAATAATACACAAAAAGAAGAAAAAGCAGAAAAAAAGCACCCACCAGTGTTCGTAGTTCGCTCTTAATTCTTTTAACACAAGCGACATCACCGCACCTACTTTTAAGTTTTGGTGCTATTGCTTTAAGCAAACCGCCAAAGATTGGACAATACAACCACAAAAGCAAATACCAAAATAAGGGGTTTGAGGGTTCAACCAGAGCGCTTCTGTAAACCATTTTTCTCCTCATCATTCAGACGTAGGGATGGAGAGAAGGGTTTTAATGGTGTGTTCTGTTGTGGGTTTATTGGGGATTTTGTCGGCTGTCACTGGTTTTGTTGCTGAGGCTACTAGAATCAAGGTGATTTCTTATCATTTTTGCTTCAACTCCTCTTGAGTTTAATCTTGTTTGGCCTATTTTTCATTGGGTTTTTGCTTGCATTTGGGTTTATGTTTGTGGGTTTTTCTTGTATTTTGCTACCAATGTATCTTAGTGGAATGGTTGTAGTTCTTTTGATGTTTTTGATTGTTCTAAGCTTCAAGATTTAAGGGTTCTTTTTGGTTTTTCATTTTCTGATTTGGGTTGGTGATTCAAATCATTGAGACGTTAAATTGTTGAGCTGTTCTTCAAGGGAAGCTTCCTAAGCAACAAATCTTTCCTTCAATTTGTGCTCTGTTTTTTTTTCTTAATGTTCTTAGTTGAGGCACTGTTGGGTTAGATTGTTTACATTCTTCAGCTTATATTGGGTGTTTTCCAGCCCCTTTTGTAAATCCAAGCAGATTTTGTGATGTAGTCAAATTGATCCTTTTAGAACCTTGGTTTAAAAGAAATCTAAGGATTTTTCATGATAAGAATCAAGAGATGGAACATTTCGATTCAGTTCGTTTAAAAGATTCTTCGTGATGTTCTCTTTTCCCTCTCTAACCAATGTGGGATCTCATAATCCATTCCCCTTTGGGGCTAACGTCCTCACGGGCACTCCGCCCAGTGTCTGGCTCTTATATCATTTGTAATAGCCCAAACCCTTCACTTGCAAATATTGTCCTCTTTGGGTTTTCCCTCGAGGTTCTAAAACGTGTCTACTAGGGAGAGGTTTCCACACCCTTATGAGGAATGTTTCGTTCCCCACTCCAACCAATGTGGGATCTCACAATCCACTCCCTTGTGTGCTAGGCCGCCCGATGTCTGGCTCTGATACCATTTAAAACGGCCCAAGCCCTTCGCTTGTAGATACCTCTTTGGGCTTTCCCTTCTGGGATTCCCTCAAGGTTCTAGAATGCGTCTGCTAGGGAGAGGTTTCTACACCCTTATGAGAAATGTTTCATTCCCCTCTCCAACCAATATGGGATCTCACAATCCACCCCCCTTATGGGCTAGCGTCTTCACTGGCACACCACTCAGTGTCTGACTTTGATACTATTTGTAATGGTTCAAGCCCACCACTTGCAAATATTGTTCTCTTTGGACTTTCCCTTCTGGGCTTTCCCTCAAGGTTTTGAAACGCGTCTGCTAGGGAGAGGTTTTCACACCCTTATAACGAATGTTTCGTTCTCCTCTCTAATCGATGTGGGATCTCACAATCATTGCTAGTAGTGGGCTTGGACTGTCATAGGTGGACACACAAGAATGTAATGAGAAATGGATTGTGGTAGAGAAATATATAGTGAGAGGGGAAGAGTTCGAGCGGTATGCTTTTGCTTAATTTGTTGTGTGGTTTCTACTTGGGAGAAAGGGACAGCTCTCTAAATCTTCCAGACTCACCTTTACTGATAAATGAGTCCTAATTTCTATCAATATTAGTATCAGAGCAAGTTTATGTTCGGGAATGACTACTCGTATGGACTCGTAGATGGAAACGATCGAAGGGAGAATGACAGAGTTTCAGAGCTCTGTGGAGAAGGAATTTCAGCTGATTCGAGAGACAGTGATGACATAGAGATCGAACGGACGGTAGAAAAGGCGTGGCTGATGTCAGGTTGAATAGATCAGGAACCTGTTATTATTATGATTTTTGTTGTTTCATGTTCTAAAAAACTGTTATACGATTTAGATGGTGCATTTACCTGTTGTTCTTCTGGTATTAGTTCTTGGTTCCTGAATCTATCGAGCGGAGTAACATCGATTCAAATTTATCTGACAGGGCTCACAGGTTCAGTTCGTTTCGACATCTGAGTGTGCATATCCACGAAGTCCTGCTATGGGTCTCGGTTTAACGGCTGCGATTTCTCTGTTGATTGCACAGTTAATTATAAATGTTTCTAGTGGTTGCATTTGTTGCAAAAGAAGTCCTAATCCTTCCAATCCTAATTGGAAAATAGCACTCGTGAGCTTTGTTATTTCGTGGTAAGTTTTTTTAGGACTGGTTTAATGAAATTCTGTAACAGTTCAAGCTCACCGCTAGTAGATATTGTCCTTTTTGCGCTTTCACTTTCGGGTTTCCCCAGAAGTTTTTAAAACACATTTACTAGAGAGAGATTTCCACACCCTTATAAGGAATGCTTTGTTTCCCTCTCCAACCGATGTGGGATCACACAATCCACTTAATACTACTCTCGCCCAAGCAAGCTTTATTGTGGAGTTCTGATGGGATCCCATGCATTAGTGCTGGTATGATCGTGCACTCCTTTGGAAAAATTGTGAGATCTCACATCGGTTGGAGAGGGGAGCGAAATATTCCTTGGAAGGGTGTGGAAACCTCTCCCTAATATATGCGTTTTAAAAACTTGAGGGGAAGTCGAGGAGGGAAAACCCAAAGAGGACAATATCTGTTAGCAGTGGGCTTGGGCTTGGGCTTGGTCTGATCTGTCGAGTTGTGAATTGAGCTAGTACTGGGCTTGCTTTTGAGATGTCTGGAAATGATGGCACTGTGTTTTATGTCTCAGGTTCAGTTTCGTCATAGCGTTCTTGTTGTTGCTGACTGGTGCAGCCCTGAATGACCAGCATGGTGGAGGGACTATGTACTTTGGTAACTACTACTATTACTGCTACGTCGTGAAACCCGGAGTCTTTGCGGGAGGTGCCGTTCTGTCATTTGCTAGTGTCCTATTGGCAATAGTCTATTATCTGACTCTAAATCTAGCAAAGAACAACAGCCCTCTATGGGGGAATCCTGTTCCAGCTCAGGGCATTGCTTTGGGGCAGCCTCAGTTTCTGCCACAAAATACACAACAACCCGTGTTCGTTCATGAAGACGTGTATGCACGACGACAGTATGCATGATTCATAGCCCGGTTAGGTAACCGAGCAAACTTTTGTTAGTTGGTGAACCTATGAAGAAATGAAACACTTGGTGTGTCAATAGGCTTAGAGAATGGACAAGAAGGATAAGGAAATTTGTTGTTGCTCAGCCTTTGGCTGTGTTGTTTTTGCTTTGTTTCTGTATCCAATTAGATTATTAGGTGAGAGAGGCTGGCTGTATAGTAAGATTTATCCAACAAAAGTAAAGCTTAGCTTTCATGGATTTTGGGTTAGACTTTATGTCAATCTTTGAATCAACCTTTGGTCCCTAGCTGATAACGTAATCATGCTCACGATCAACCTTAAAGGGAACTCAAGCCCCATATTCATTTTTCGTTCAGCTTTATGGGTTGGTTCGTTGGTCCTTAGACAAGATTTGTCTTCACTAATCAAACATTGCTGGTGTAGAATCCAAGTTTGTTTGGCCACACATGCCCTGTGTCACAATCTGCAATATGATTGTGACTCGAGTAAGTCATCGAGGACGATGACTAAGTTAAGTGGAGGAGAATGTCACAACCATAGTATGAAGAGAGTAGGTTGTGACCCTTACGCCATGACAAGTAAAGGGGCGTCCCTCAAGAGACGCCCCATCCGGCCATATGCGGGCCAACATAGAAGAATGCCATGATGCGATTAAGGAGGACGATGCATCATCCAATACACCACCATCCCAAAGTGGGTATTGAAGATATATGTTGAGACATAAGCATAACAGAGACATCATCATAGACATGAAGGACAAGATAGGCTTGTTGAAGGGCCAGGTAGGGCCCCGGGCCTTAACCTCAAAAGTCAGGGTTTCGGAAGGAATTTGAGCATGCAGTTTGGGAGTTAAGTTTGTCCATATGAAATATGAATGCTCGCCAAGTTTGGTGTCAATCGGACATTGGACAGACAATGCACGACACCTCACCAAAATCATGTCTACACCTGGTAGAATGAAACCTGGTAGAATGAAAATGGCTCAAAA